TGATCCACACTCGTATGAACACTTGATTTTTTACAAAGAAGCTAAAATTATAAAATGGAAAAAGAAAGCATTTTTAACAAATGGTGCTGGCATAACTGGATGTTCACATGTAGAAGATTGCAGATAGATCCATATCTATCACCATGCACAAAATTCAAGTCCAAATGGATCAAAGACTTCAACATAAAACCAACCACAATGAACCCTATAGAAGAGAAAGTGGGAAGTGGCCTTGAACTCATTGGCACAGGAAACCACTTCCTACATAGAACACCACTAGCACAGACACTGAGAGCAACAATGAATAAATGGGACCTCATGAAACTGAGAAGCTTCTGTAAAGCAAAGAACATGGTCAACAAGACAAAATGGTGGCCTACAGAATGGGAAAAGATCTTTACCAACACCACATCTGACAGAGGACTGAGCTCCAAAATATATAAAGAACTCAAGAAACACGACATTAAAAAAACCAAATAATCCAATAAAATATGGGGTACAGATCTAAAAAGAGAATTCTTAACAAAGGAATCTCAAATGGTTGAAAGACACTTAAGAAAATGCTCAACATCCTTAGCCATCAGGGAAATGCAAATCAAAACAATCTGAGATACCATCTTACACCAGTCAGAATGGCCAAGATCAAAAACTCTGATGACAGTGTATGCTGGAGAGGATGTGGAGTAAGGGGGACGAACACTCCTCCATTGCTGGTGTGAGTGCAAACTTGAACAGCCACTTTGGAAATCAGTATGGCGGTTCCTCAGAAAATTGGGAATCAATCTCCTCCAAGATCCAGAGATACCACTCTTGGGCGTATACCCAAAAGATGCACACTTATACCACAAGGACCCTTGCTCAACTATGTTCAAGCAGCATTATTCGTAATAGCCAGAACCTGGAAACAACCTAGATGCCCGTCAACTGAAGAAAGATAAAGAAAGATAAAGAAAATGTGGTACATTTACACAATGGGGTACTACTCAGCCATTAAAAAAACAAAACAAAAAACCAAATCACAAAACAACGACATCTTGAAATTTGCAGACAAATGGACAGATCTAGAAAAAGCCATTCTAAGTGAGGTAACCCAGACCCAGAAAGACAAATATAATATCTATTCACTCATAAGTGGATATTAGACATAAAACAAAGGACAACCAGCCTACAGGTCACAACCCCAAAGAACCTAGGTAGCAAAGAGGACCCTAAGAGAGACATACATGGATCCACCTAGGAAGGGGAAAAAGACAAGATCTCCTCAATAAATTGGGAACATGGAGTGTAGAGAGGAGAGTGGAAGGGGAGAGAGGAGGGAAGAAGAGTAGGGAAATTGTATAACTCAATAAAAATAATAAAAACAAACAAAAAACTGTTAATGTTTTCCTATGGTGGTCCTACCTTGTTGCTTTGAAAACTAATATTATTATTCTGGTGCCATTAAGCTCTCACTGATCCTTCCCATGTGTCTTGGCCCCTTTAAATGGCAGATGTAGTACTCAGCATATCTTTTGACTAGCAGACTTACTGCTTCAGGTCAGGGGATTTTCTTTTTTTCTTTTAAGTGTTGTTTATTACATTTTATTTATTTTTATATTATATATATTAATTAATAATGTTATTACATTGTGGTGCATGTGTGTGGAGATGAGAGGGCAACTTCCAGAGATCAGTT